CTCACCTGTCTTGTACAGTCACACTGTCAGACATGTTCCCTAAGATCTGCAGGCCGCCCAGAACCAACTCTCAAAAAAGCAATTAACTTCCCCAAACTCCTGTATCTTTGCCCAAAATGAAGTGCACATAACAAAGAAACTGTTCCAGCTGTGCTTCTCACCCCACCTTCACCACAGACCCAGGATAAGGCACAGCACGGAAGGAAGAGCTAATGGTAAGAACATGCTCAAAAGAAGACGGGAGTAAGTCAAGAAAGGAGTGACCTTATGTTTGAGAGAAAAGCAAATTATTTAAAGGAAGAGACTATATTCCAAACAAAATGATGGCACTGAAGTAAACACAAACCACAGGGTTTGAACTGCTAATGCGAATACACAGGTGTCCTACAAAGTTTTCTTTAAATAAATGGGCCTTCTCTAGACCAAATCCAATGGCAAAGCTGCTCCACCACTTCTAGCAGGAACACAGCTCAGCACTCGGCTGAGGGGTTTGTTGTCAGTTAGCTCAGGGTTGGGGATGCACAGAGAGGTGGTGGTGCCCTGGAGAGGGACTGGAGGGGCTCTGAGCACCTGATGGAGCTGTGGCTTGGACCAAATGACCTGCACACCACTGAAAAGAACCTGGCATCATTCGTTAGACACCTGCCCTGTGATACAAACATTGCTGAGATTCTCTAAGCAGATCCAGGGCTCTCAGCCTTTCCTCATGCAGGAGATGCTCCAGGCCCCGATCTCTCTGTAGCCCTGCTGGGCTCTCCCCAGCAGTTCCCTGCCTGCCTTGAACTGGGCAGCCCAGCACTGGGCCCAGTGCTCCGGATGTGGCCTCCCCAGGGCAGAGCAGAGGGGAGGAGAACCTCCCTCGTTCTGCAGGCCACGCTCTGTGCAATGCACCCCGGGTGCCATTGGCTCAAGAACGCCCTGCTGGCTCATGGTCAGCCTGTGGCCACCAGGACACCCAGGTCCTTCTCAGCAGAGCTCCTCTCCAGCCACATCAGTGCAGGTCAGGGGCTGCATACGCAGTTATTCCTCCACATCTGCTGAACTTCACGCTCACCCTAATTGAACCTCATCAAATTCTTCTACGCCCAAACATCACCAGTCTCACAAAGCCCCGCAGGAAAGCTGCCCGCACCCCTGCCGCGCAGCGCTGGATTACCGTGCTGCAGCCGCAGCCGCGCCAGCTCCGTCCCGAGCCGCTCGTTCTCCCGCTCGCACTCCGCGATGGCCGCATCCCGCTCCCGACTCAGCCCGCGGACGTGACCCACGTAACGCTCCACCTGGGGACGCAGCTCCGTGAGCCCCTTCCAGCCCCGGCCGTCCCGCGATTCCAGCCTCTCTCCCTTCCCCGCCGTCTCTCTCGGGGCAGAGCCCAGCCATTTCATCCCTTACTTCTCTCAACTCCTCGGCCCGCCGCCGCTCCGCGTCCCCCAACCGCGCCTCGGCGCGCCGCAGCAGCCGCCAGGCCAGACACAGCTGCTCCTCCGCCGGGTCGCCAGGATCCGCGCCCTCCGCACGCAGCCAGCGCCGGACGTCCTCCGCCGGTACCGGCGGCTCCGCCTGCAGGGAAGCGATACCCGCCGTGAGCGACGCGCTGCCGGCACCCGCCCACGGAGCCCGGGAACTCACCGGCGCGGCGACCGCCGCCTCCATGCGACGCGAGCACGGGCCGCGGGGCGACGGGGCGCCATGGCAACGGGCTGTCCCGAGCGCGGCGCCGATTGGCTGCGGAAGCGACACTCACCCTTTGGGGCGGGTCTTCCGGAAGTCGGCCAATCGGCGCCTCGCTCGCGGCTGCCCGTTGCCATGGCTCCGCGATGCCCCGCCCCCGCTCAACCCTGGCCGAGGGGTCACAGCCCCGCCCGCTCCCTCCCCCAAGCTGCCCGCGGTCCGGCGGGTTCCCCGCCACGCAACTCCCCGACGAAGCTACAGGAACGTTCCCAGCCCGGGCATCGCGCTCTTCTCTAGCAGGGCTGCGCCTGCAGCGTCCCTTTCAGCCCCCTCACACAGCGCTCCGGGTGCATCTCCCCCAACTTGGGTCAAACTGCACTGCGCGGACCCCCCACCACACACCATCCCACCGCAGACCGACCGCCGCCGCACAACGGCTGCTGGAAGGACACCGGACAACAACCTACTTTGCTCACCGCAGCTATTCTCTATATCCTCGCATCCCACAGCTTCTCAACCACAGCAGGTTGTGGATGCCCCATTCCTGCAGGCATTCAAGGCCAGGCTGGATGTGGCTCTGGGCGGCCTTGTCTGCTGGTTGGTGACCTGCACACAGCAGGGGGTTGGAACCAGATGAGCATTGTGTCCTTTTCAACCCAGGCCATTCTATGATTCTGTGATTCTTGAAGCCTCACACGGGTGCCTCCTACACCACGTACCAGTTCACAGACAGCAGGCAGTCAAGGGGAATACACTCAAAGAAAATAAATCACAGCAGCAGAAGGTGTTGCAGTGTTGCTCAGACTGCATTTATGTGCAGAGTTCTCTCAGAGTAGATGCACAGGATCCATCCCGGAGCAACAGACGCCCTCCAATGTTGTCACCACCCCGTTCTCATTCCATGTGCCCCAGCAGTGTCCCCATCCCTCTCAATGCCAGCTGACTGGCAGTGCTGCGCTTTCACTCCAGCCCGTGGCCAAGCACCACAAAGCTCTGTTCCTTCCATCCAGAAAGAAACTTGAAGAAGCAGATTCGAGAAAACATTTTATATATACCATTTCTCCCTCTCCCAGGGCATGGAACAGAAATACAACATAACCTTTCCTTCTTTACAGACTAGAACAAATACCATCCTTTGGAATGCTTTCAATTCAGTGCACTTTACTGCTCTGTTTTTTTTTAAAGCAAGCTATAGCAACTATTACCAAGCAGTAGAAAAGTGCAGAGTTTTGGACGGCAGCCTCCTCCGTAGGGTTGCTCTGATTATTATTCTATTCACGTGGGACAAAGAGTTGCTCCAATTCTGCTCTCTCTAGTACAACTTCATTTGCTCCATCCACAGCTGCTCATCAGATTTTCTTTTCCATAAATAAGGTATGTTGGCCCTGAAGATAACTCACTATTTTTTCTTCTATTTCCATGCCTTGCGCTATTTCTTCCTCAGAAAGAGATAATGGAGTCTGTGAGTCTTTGGTTACAATAATAACAGAGGTTCTTCGTGACTCCAGGATATTTGCTACCACCACCTGGTGACGGTATTTCTCCAGAGCCTGGCGTGATTTATCGATCAAGATCAAGGGATCTGTTTCCAATTTAAAGGAAATAACAAAAGCCTCCGGAGCCCATTCTTTGACGAGAGGAGACAGCATTTTTGGCACCATCTTCATCGTTATCTACAGTGGGAAAAGATAATAGGAAAAAAAAGTCACTGAAACAAGGGGAGTACAGAAATTCCATCTTCATGTGGGTTTTACACTGGAAGGATTTTCAAGACACTGTTTTGTCAGATTTCATTAACAGCATGTACTGCAAAACTGAATTCAAATACCTATCTACTGCTAACAATAACCAGGATGTTCTTAAACTATGAAGCAGGCCTGCAGTAACTGCATGAGCTTGTTTTTATGTAAGTACTAAAGTCCATTTTGCTACTGTAAACATCAGCAAAGGAAGAACACAAATTGCAAAATGCAGCGTTTTCAGCTCTCGAAAATCCAAGCACTTTATCAAATCATAACCATCATATCATATCATCTCTTTAAAGCACGTGAAAGATGCATATGCCAAAGCATGGGGAAAAGGAGTAACTGCCTTTTTACTCTCCAACTTCTTTGCATCTGGGTGTGCCGCTGGGAATCAGGTAGGGTCTTATTTTTCCTGTGCTAAGGAATTAATTGTGAAAATGTATGTTTCTGATTAATGAACCGCTGCTCTGCGACCTTTCCCAGATCTCACTGCCAGTCCCCTGCTGCTACATCCATGACAGGACAGTGGGGCAAGGGCAGGAGCCTTGCCCAGGTGCACCTCACCTGCAGGGGTCCCTCTGAGGACTGGATCTTGTGCTCAGACATCTCTGAGGCAGGGATGTAGAAATCAGACACTGCAGCTGCCAGGTAAAACATGACACCAGAGCCTGCGAGAGACACAACCATCACTGCTGGCAGCCTGCACAGAGCAGCCAGGCCCTTCTGCACTGCCATTCTGCGGCAGGCTGCGCTGCCAACACATGGTGATGTGATGCCAGAGCTGCAGCCCCTCACACACGCTTCCGAGAGGGGCTCAGAACAGCGCAGAGATGATCAGTGAGGTGAGCCCAGCCTCTCAGCGCAGGGGTCTCCTTTCCCCAAAGCGCAGGGGTCCCACACAGCAGATCCCTTCCGTCCCCTCGATCCCCCCACTCCCCTTCCAGCTCTGCTCTTACCGAATGGCGCCAGGGCGCGGGCGGTGGCGCGGAGCAGCGCCAGGTACTCGTTCAGACTGGTGAACTCGAGCGACAGCAGCGCACCCGCGTTGGCTGCCTGCCGGTAGGCGCGGAGGGCGGGCAGCAGGGCGGGCAGGGCGGCGGGGTCGGCGGCCACGCCGGGGGGCGGCCCCGGGGTGAGGCAGAGGGCGTCGAGCAGCGCGGGGCCGGGCGGCGGCAGCACGCGGGCCCAGGGGAAGGCGGAGCGCGCGCGGTGCAGGAAGCAAACGCCGTACCCGGCGCTCACCAAACGCTCCGCCGACACCGCGCCGCGTCGCCCGCTGCTGAAGTTCTCCAGGAAGCGCACTGCCCGCGTCTCCAACGGCACCTGCGTGCCGCCCGACGTCACGAGCGCCACGCGCCGCCCGCTGGCCACCTGAGCCGCCGCCCAGACCCGCACGCGCTCCTCCGCCGCCGCCGCCGCCGCGGCTTCCTCCTTCGCCGCCGCCATGCCCGCCCAACCTCCGTCTACTTCCGCCGGAAGTGCCTCCGCCATGATGGTGCTGCCCTCTTCTACTTACGCCGGAAGCACTGCGCACGCCGGAAGCGCCGCCCCGTCGCCACGGCAACGCGGCTACCGCGCTGAGGGACGCTGGAGCGGTCTGGCCACTGCGAGTTGTGCGGGGCGGCGGCGCGGCTGCGGTGTTCCCGCTGCCGCCTCACGTATTACTGGTGAGGGCCTCCGGCTGTCCGCGCCCCCCGGAGCTCTCGGTGCGGCCACAGTTAAGGACAAATGTCACTGGTGTCACGAGTCGGGCTCGGGGTTGGGTTGGCTTCGGTGGGCTTTTCGCCCTGGTGCTGAAAGCGAGGCGTTCGCAGGAGCCGAGTGGCGTGGGAGGCTCTGTGAGTGGAGGCCTTAACGCACGGCATAGCGGCACCGCCTGCGGGCCACGCGAGTGTGCTGACGTCCCGCCAGCTGTGTGTGTCCCTCTGACGCCAGGATGAGCATCAGCCTCACCGCTCCCACGGATGCCTCACAGGAGGCTGCAGTGAGCTGGGGTCAGGCTCCTCCAAACAACGGCAGGACAGGGAAGCGGCCTGGAGTTGCTCTGAGGGGGTTTTAGGTCAGACATCAGAAAAAATTCTGTCACCAAAAAGGTTGTGGAGCTTTAGGACAGGCTGCCCAAGGAAGTGGTGGAGTCACCATCCCTGGAAGTGCTCAGAAGACGTGGAGATGTGACACTTAGGGCCGTGGTTGATGGGTTAATGGTTGGAGTGATGGCCTTGGAGGTCTTTTCCAACCAGAATGATTCAGCAGTTCTAAGAAGTTACGGAGCAGCGGCTGTTGTGAGTAAATCTTGTGGTGAAAGTCCAGAAGAAACAACAAGCAATAATCTTTCTTCACCTTGTTTCAAAGTAAACAAAAATATAATTCTTTATTTTGTTAGTGATGTAGGTCATCAGAAAGCCGACTGGGTTAGTATCCATGAGAAAATATGCCAGCTGCTGATTCCAGTCCGCACATCCCTCCCTTCTCTCACTTCTGAAGAAGAAAGAAAACACGGAGTGGAACAGCTGGTGAAGAGGCAGGTATGTACAAGAAGGAGGAATACCACTTCAAAGCGCTGCCAGTGAAATTTGATTAGATCTCTTTCTGTATTTTGATGTGCGTTGTGTTGGGAGGGCATGTAGTTTGTTAATCAGTACTTTGTTTACAAAAAAAAAAAAAAAAAAGTATTAAAGACTCTGCAACTAAAACTTCCCAATAAAAGGAGCAGGAATGTTCTCTCTCCAACTCTAAAAGTCTCTTGCCTTCTGGCAGCCCTTCCTCCAAAACTTGAGCTTCCTTATCTTTGCTGGCCCGACAGCAGCAGTCCTGCATCTCCTACCTTGCAATGGCAATCAGCAGTAAGTCCATTGGGATCCAACTGAGTTCTGGTTCTTACAACTGTCCTCATCCCTCACTGATGAGAGGGATTCCCCTTCCTCAAAGCAGAGAGCAAAGAAATAAAACCCTTCCCCTTGTTTACCTCCACAACTTTAAATGCTCTTTCCCACTAAGTGTGGTTTTTTTATCTCTGCTTTTTGGCCTCCTCGGAGGTGCAGATGTGCAGCTCCTTTCCAGTCAGAGAAGAACTGTTGTGGGTTGTTTTTTTTTGTGTTTGTTTATGGGATGCAGGATCTGCCTTTCCACAGCGTTGATAAAAGAAAATAACCCGCCCAAATACCTCTGTTACTTAGAACGATCTTTCCCATAGAAATAAATCATCCTCCTATCGTTGCAAAACTCCTAATCGCAGGATAGCAGGACAACAGAACAACAGAAAGTGAAATGGTAACAAACAAACGGTGCCACTGGGAGGATCATTAATCTTCAGTGCTTTACATCCTGCATTGTTTTTAAGATTGTTTCTGGGTCAGGTGTTAGCACTTTGGCTCATTGCTGAAGTCATTACCTTTCTTGTGAGCACGCAGAAGGAAAAAGCCTAAAAGAGAAGGAACCTGCATGGACAGAAGTTGTGCATGGTGAAAGCTTGTGAGAGGCTTTAGGCAACAGATTCCTTTCAGATTTGTGGCAATTAGGCACCGACACCCAAGTTTGTTTTGAAAATGTCACCTGATGGAAAATCACAAACAAGATTGTTGATCAAAGAGCAGAAAAAATGTGACAGTATATTGTCAAAGCCAAGAGGGTGGTAGAGGTGAGGTGAAGGCTGTGGCTCATTATCTAAACATGTACAAGGAGTCTGGAAGTGGGAAAGATACCCTAAATATAGGAAAAACGGGCTTTGCTCATGTTACTACAAGCCCTTAAGTTGCCCAATTGTATGTCAGTATTTCCACACGCAGTGTCAAGAATAATGCAGAGTGGTGGCAGCTCTTGTGCTTATTTACAGCTTAAAGCTTTTCCAAAACACTTTACCTACAAATCAAACGTTGTCAAAAGCATCTGTTACTACATTATTGATTTGGTAGCAACTAAAACTATGCTGTATGCATTACAGCACAGTACATGACTGCAGAATCAACGCAGTGCTTCAGCTGGACGCTGATCACTTGTTTTTATAGCGTTCTACGGAGAGCACCAGGAACATAAAACTGGTAGAGAAGTAGGCAAAGGAGCAGCCACTGCTCTTGATTGCAGTGCACACCTAGGTTAACACACAGTGACTGCAGAACTGCAGCTTGAGCCCAGGCTTGGATTGACCTCATAGGAAAGGCTACAGAGAGCAGATTCCCACTGTTTTTCTAAAGGAAGACTTTTACAGGATTTTTAACAACTCCTTGCATTTGTTCTTTGACCTCAGTAATATACTGCAGACTGCTGAAATGAAGCAGATGTTCAGAGTGTAATGTGGAAGGGCACGTTGTCTTTCTTCTCCCTTAAGAAAAGGATGAAAAAGCAGAAACGTTTTGTTTGTTACTTGCTTTCTTACACAGCAGGACTGCAGCTCCTAGTCCACCGGTGAAGTCTGCTTTTGTGTGCAGTGAGGTGCAGGGAAACTGGCCTAGACTGGCTGACGAGCATCGGAAGGGCAGTGTGGAGAGGGTGGGATTATTCAGAGCCCCATCTTTGTTTTCCCATTCAGAGGGCAAACAAAAATGCTTGAAAGGTCTTTGATGCTCAGGGAAAAGCGACGCAGTCTCTTCACAGAGAAAAGCCCTTGCACGTGGGTTTATTATTTTCTGAACTTTTCTATTGCATTTCACGAATTCTTGTGCTGTGCTTGTTTGGAAAACATGGAACTGAAGCCTCTGTCAGGACACAGGAAAGCTTGTGCACACTGGAATGCCCTTTGGCCTAAGGGAAGGTGCGTTAAGCTGGGAGCCAGGAGGTTATGAGTTTCATACCTCAGATGTGCTCCAAAACTTTGTTGATAGAAATCTGCTTTTGTCAACATAGCCGTGGGGGTGCCTGCAGACAATACCTGCAAACTGAAAAAACTCCAAGTTTCTGTTTGTGGAATAGCCTCACTGCCTGCACCAAGCGTGATGTCAGCTTACCACAGCCTCTGGGGATGGGAAAAAATCTGCACCTTGGCCAGCTACAGCCATCCTCCAGCATCAGTGCCAGCCCTGCTGATGCAGGCTTTAACTCCAAGGGCCCACTTTCAAACTGACTGAAGGCCCTTCTTCCTCTTTAAAGTGTATTTTTACCTAAGTGTGCCGTCATGGCGGGTGCCTGCAAGCGTGGGAACGGATGTGACACAGAGCTCGGGTGTTTGCCCAACCCCTGCTCCCTCCTGCAGCCGAGCTGTGCTCCTCTGCCTCCTCAAACCCCAACCAGGGAAAAACTCATGGGAGCATCTTCAGAGAAATTTCTGTAATTGCTGCACATGTGAAAAGAGCGCTATGAGCAAAATGGTGCAGGGCCAAAGCTAATGATGCCTCCAAGGCTTGCAACTGCACTGTCTCAAATATTCCGTGCTGCAGGGCTTCTGTTGTCTCCAGCCCTTTCTCCTGCTGTATGTGCTGATAGCACAGGTGCAGGAGAGGGGGATGATGGTTGTGCTTCCGTGCTCCTGGATGTCCTTGCTGCTGCAGCTCACTCTGGGATGCATTTGGTGAAGCTCTCATTTATCTAGAAAGCATTTCCCTTTATCTCAGCCAGGATCTCCGGTATGCACTCGCGCACTGTCCTTGTGGTTCCTTGCCCCTGAGCTGTTCCTTCACTTTTATCTGCCTTTCTGAGCACTTCGAGATCAGTAAAATGCTAAAACCATAACCTGGCCTCTAACAGCACTGAAATTTGCTTTTTCTGCCCTCTGCTCTGCTGCAACTGGGAAACATCGGGCAACAAAGCACAGCCTGCAAAGAGGTACAACGTTATTTTCTGCAGGCACTCGCTGCACAGGCCTGTTTGTGCCTTCTAGCCAAAGAAGAGTGCTTTGCTACCTACCATGCAGCCCTGCTAGGCATACCAGCAATGAGATTTGTTTGCAGGCAGCCTTCCCTCTGCTCTGCATTGTGCGAAAAGCCAACAGAGAAGTGCTGGGAGTTGGCAACTATCTCGATGAAAGCTGATAGAAATAGGTAAGCATCCTGGCTCTTTTTCATTGGCATCCCGTGGCATGTTGTAAGGGCACACCATCTGCAGTTGCTGTAGAGTCCTTGGCAATGAGCAGGCATTCAAGTACAGAAACATTTGGAGCTGATGATCAGGTACTGCAAAGGGTGACAAGACCAAATGCAGTGTGGGCTGCTAGGAGCAGCACAGGACAGGAAGTAGTTGTACCTGTGGCAAACGCTGTGGTTTCTGACACACAGAAATCCTACAAAGCTGCTTGATGAGCAGACTAAACTTGGGTTATGGAGATGATAGAATCAGGGAATGGTTTGGGTTCCAAGGGACCTTACAGCCCATCCCCTTCTGACCTTCTCTCACAGACCTCCACAGCTACTGGACCACTTTGCCCAGGGCCCCATCCAAGATGCAGGAATATAATGCAGTGCATTGGAGTTTTCTGATTTTGACCAATTTTTCCAGATTCTGCATCCAAACGTCGGCCCTTCAAAGCCCAGAATTGGCCAGCAGAGGGTGAGAGGAAGCTGCCAAGCCCCGGGGATCATGCGGGTACGCTGCTGTCCCACCCCGAAGCTGCCCTTCTCCGGGGCTGAGGGGCAGTGTGCTGCAGCACGAGCTCTCCCCTTACTTCCAGACAGTGTCTCCTGCAGCTGGAGATGTGCCATGCTGGCAACAGCCTGGCAAACCATACGCTCTGCTGCCTGCTATGAGTCACCGTTATCGTCAGCGAAATCCTGCTGTAACCCCTTTGTCTGATCTTTTCTCTGGTCTTGTGATGATCGTTTTCTGTGCTTCACGGCCTTTATTGCTACAACCTTGTTAGTCCTTTTTCATGGGCCTGAAGGATTCTTTGTCTCACAAGACACCACATGACCTACGAGGATGCCCAGAGCTGTTCTTACCAGAAGTAGGAATGAAATCCAGGCACTAATATGACAGCTTTAATTTCCATCTATTAATTACAGACACAAAATTATAAAGTGATTGTTAACAGCGCAGACTGGAATGTGGAAAGAGGCCATGCATATTCTTTCTCCTTATCCTTTGCTCACCTTGCCCCACTATGGTTTTTCCTGGCAGAAATACATCATCGATCTTACATCCAGCACAGCCCAGAAGTTTATTTTCGATGGAAAGCATGAAAAAGCATTACCTGCAGCTCTGCATGCACTGCGTTTCAGCAGCAAAGTGTATGGCCCGAGTTCTGTGCAACTGGTACCTGCCTATCTCCTCTTGGCTGACGCCTGCATTGGTAAGCACAGGTCTGAACAGTAACTTTGGCAAGGGCAAAAGCTCCCCTGGGTCAGGTTTCTGGTTTCCTCTCAGCATTCCAGGGAAAGGCCAGCTCTGCAGTCATTGTGCCATGTCTGTTCTATGCCCAGCCTGAAGGGCATCCAGGGAGATTCAAGGTGTCACCTCCTGTGTTGGCCAGGGAAAAAGATTTCTCATCAATGGTGAGAGATCAGTGAAAAATGGAGCATTTTCTCCATCTCTAACTGATTCTCACAAGAGAAGGGGTATGAAGTTCATCTCTTCACCTCTGTGGCTTCGTATGGCTCACAAAAGCATTGAATTCCCAGCCAGCACACCTTTGAGGCCATCCCATCAGAGGAGCACCTCTGTTCCTTCACAGAAATGAGTTCTGCCTGGAGCAGAGCTTCTTCTCATTGACTGTGTGGCTCAGCTGCACACATAAATGACTGAGAAATGATTGTAAACCATTGTTGTTACAGGAGTAGACACAATGCTCTGCTGGCACAACGGAGCAATGTGAAAGATTGTTGTAAAATGGGGAGGCAGGAGAAGGAGAAATATCCCATCAGTATTTTGAGTGTGATAATACAGCAGTTGTTAGCTTCTGCCTGGATGTTACCTGGTTTGAACACGTGTTCCAGAGGCACTGAACGCAATGCAGTTTGTGGTTTCTCTTGTAGCTGTTTGTGAGTTACATTCTGAGCACTTGCTTAACTCAGAACTGGGGAATCCACAAACTGTCTTTGTGTCAAACTGCTGCAAAGGGATAGCAGGCAACATGCTCTACATTTCTAAGCAGAAAGTGCTCTGTATCCTGCTTATTTCTTATGTCATTTCAGGAATTGGCAACTTTCAGCAGGCATCTAACTATCTCTCCCAAGCTCAGTGGATTGTCCTCAGAACTCCAGATTGCAGCGGTGCCTTCCAGCATAGATTGCATCGCAGTCTGGGGCTTCTCTATGCTGCTGATGGAAACTTCGATCAGGCTTTGTATCACCTGGCCAATGATGTAAGCCAATAACAGTGCAGCAGCCTTTCGGTTTTCCTTCCCTCTGTAGCTGTTCTGAGCAATATGAACCCAGCAGACAGGTTGTGGCACCGAGCTGAGGAGCCAGGACAGTACATCAAGAACACCTGAACTGCATGAGTCTTAGACACCTGTATATCCACAGCCAAAGCTGTGTTTTTCCAGTTCTGGTTATCCTCAAGTGATACATAACTCATCTGTCCTACATTTGCTTAGAATTTTTTCTGCCAGCTTTGTTAAGATCCTGATATCAACAGACATTCCTACCGCAAACTGCTGTGGCAGCCTTTTGTTTACAGATAAGCAACTGTATATTTTGGCTGTCATTTTCCTTAATACTTTTCTGTTCAATGGCAATTTTCCATCCATTCTTTAATGAATGCCTCACTTAGCTATGTAAATATCTGGTTCAGTACCTTTTTCCCCAGTTCAATCCTTTTAGCCACGACAGTGGTTGGAGGAATGTGAAGTGGTCATTGCCAGCAGTGTTCCTGGGGATGCTTTGCCTGTTATTTAACAGCCCAAAGGCAGATGAACTCTGTGACTTCCTATTTATGTCCCACGTCGCCTAAATTTACCCAGTGCAGAGTGATGTATGCCCACTACTGTTGAATTTGATAGTCACTTTTTACAACAGCTTTCTGTGGGCGTAAGCGATGACATATGGTGGAGGAGGATTAGAGGCTTTCTATCGTAACACACACAACTCTGGCTTCATTTAGTTTGTAAACCTGCTGTAAACCTACTGGGAGAGATTCCCTGCTATGCCACTTTTGTGGTTTTTTTAGGTTGCTTTGGTCTGGTGCCTGAAAAGGAGCAGCAAAGTAGGTTTTTTACTACTGGCGAGTCTCTGGGCTGCATCAGAGCAGCGCAGGACCTGCTTGGATTTTGGCTGAGTGTCTGAGATCTGCTGAGAGTCACATGCCAGCTCAGAATAGCTGGAATGTGCCACTGCCTTCCCACTACCTTCCCCTCGCTTTGGCTGGGGCTTTGGGGAGGAAACAGCCTCCATGGGCACGTCTGACTTCTGAAAAGCAGCAGCAAGTTGTTCATTTGAAGACAGGAGACCTGCAGGATGCACACTGAGAGGAGGAGGTGTGAGGAACCTGTCTGTACACCAACAGGGCAGCACACCATGAGAAGGAATCTTCTGCACCAGCTAGCAGGGCATTTGGGCGTGTTGCATTCCTGTGCATAACACATAAAATCCTGCTGTGCAGGTACCCCATTTCACAGCTGCAATCAAGTGTAACTAACGCCGTAGTTACCCAGAAAAAGACAGAATTTTGCAATATTATTAATCCATAATAATGAAAAATTTCTCAGGGTTCGTATGAATGTTAAACTCCTGCTTTTTCTTTTCTTTTAATATTGTTTTCAGATTTACCTCGCCAGTTCTACGTTTGGACTAAAATCTGTTGAGGCCTCTGGGGGGTATTTCCACATGGCTAATGTTTTTTCTCGCCAGAACAAAATGGACATAGCAAGCTCATTGTATGCTGAGGTTGGTAAATCCAAAGCTCATCCGGTCTCCATCTCTCAGTTAACTTTTTTTTTTTTTTTTCCCTGTGTGCTTTTCAATGTTTCCCTGTTTCTGACTGCCTTTAATATGATGGCAACCATATCAGTGTTTCAGAATCAACATGTTCATATCCAAACATTTCCCCAAGTTAGAACCAGAACAAATACATTCTGGAAAAGGTATTGAAATTGTAGTTTTCATAGGTAAACCTCATTAAAAAATAGCTTTACTACCCGAAGCCCCACACCAAAGACTAAAGACATTCCCACAGGCAGAGCAGGAGGCCAGGAGGTTTCCATAACCAAGGAAGAGTGGCCGAGCAGCGGTGGGAGGCAAACAAGCCATGTAAAATTTGAGCAGAATATCAGTGAAAAGTAACACTGCTAAAAGCTTGTCAAACAAAGGAAGTGACAGTTGTCTAATGACCGTAACAACTGGGGAAAAAATGAACTTCCAGTTGTTTAGGCTGACTATTCAACGAGGCTTTGCCTCCGCTCCACTCACAAGCATCCACCAAATTTGCTTTGAGTTAGCAATTGAGTTAGTTTTGTTCAAGTTTGATGAAAATTAATATTCAGGTAGAGAAATGAACTTCTGACTCAGGCTCCCAGAGGGAGAAGAGCCATCAGATCTGCATGTGAAACATGCTTGGCAGCTCCTGCCCGCTGAGTAGCGGGCGCTGGGGGTGTTGCGGAAGGGACGTGCGCTGCAGAATGCATTGTTTATAGGACAGCCAGTTGCTGAATACCACGTGTTCACATGGGTGAAATAATTCATTCACTTCCTGGTAGGTCACTGACATCTGGCACACCTTTCTTGTGAAGTCAGTGCAAACACAGGAGCAAATTCACAAGTCGAGAGCAGAAAAGTCTCCGTTCACAGAGGACAAGGAAGTGGAAGTCGGTGAAGACACCATGAGTAAGCAGCACTGTTGTGCAGGAGTGTTTGGGAGGCAGGAATTTAAAAATTCCATTCATCTTAGTGGTCATATTAACTGTGTTGGATTTTGCACCGTCTTTCTGTAGACCGACTTTAATCAGAGTCGTGGGCGTTTCTGATAGCTGTGCCCAGCAGGCAGTGCTGGATGAAACAAGTGGGGCCACTTCAGAAATGAGAGTGTTCAAGTGGAAACACAGCCTTGCCCTTTTCACAGTATCCTTGACTTCAGCAATACAAGATGGTGCCTTTCAGGATTCAGTTCCACTTCAGCATTCTCGTTGCTCAGCGGCTCCTTTCCTTTCATTTAATTAGGTGAAATTTCATCTCACTTAGGTAATTCCAGCTCTATCGTCTGAAGCAGTGGTACGCAGTGAAACAGCATGTGTCGATAATTGGATGTATTAATCTGGAGAATACACTGGGGGAAGGTGCATGAAGCATGGGGAAATATGCTACTGTGCATAGTATGACTTCAGCACTTCGTGAAGTCAGTCTAGATTCCATTCTTTGTCTTCCTTCTACCATCTACACTCATAAGAATATTGCCAGAGAAGAAGAAATGCTTCTGCAAATCTCTTTACCTGGCATTCTCTCAAATAATAGGAAGCAAACAAGGCAGGTCTACATGAATCCATCTTTAGATGTGACAGGAGTATGAAAGTTGCTCTTTTCATGCAGCTGTTATGACTTCACATCCTTACTAAAGGATAATCAACACAATTACAGACTGGATGAAAAGATATCTGTTAATGGGTATGGAATTTGCATGGAGCTGGAATGCCACACTGATGCTTGTTGTAGAAGTGCTTTGATGTCTAGAAGAGATAATTGGGCAGTTTTGATTATATTATCTTGTATACATACATCCAACAAGATTATTTCATTCTTGATGCAGCTGAAGCCCAGCAAGCAGAAGCAATTCAGGTCCTGAATGCAGTACTAGATATCAGAGAAAAGGCACCAAAGCAACAACCTGGGGAAACTGCCAGAGTCTTGCATGCTCTTGCAATGCTTTATTACCTAATCATGGATTTATCAAAGGTAAGTTTCACCTGTTGAAAGGGTGCAGGAAGGAGTTAGCCCCATTCCACAAAGGCATGAACGCAAGCCAGCTGCCTGTGTTCACTGGCTCCTCTCTAAGAGCACGACTGCCTTGGAGCACTGGATAACTCAAGGCAAAGCTGCTTCGGTAGCTGTGCACAAAGCCAGCTCATGCTCTGCATGCTGTCAGGGCTAAAAAAACCCACTGGGTCTGTTTGGAGCTCTGCCTCATCATCCACAGCAGATCCTGCAGTCACTCACGTTTTCTAGGATTGTCCTTCATCCTGGCAGTGTAGGTGCCTCTCACAAGCCACATTTAGACATCAGGTTGGATGTTATGCAGCGAGAAAGACGTGGGCCTTGCATGTATCCCTCCAAGAGCAAGACTCCCTGTAATTACCACCCTGTAATTCAGTTTTGAATTTGCGCTGCTGTATTTCAGAGCTTATGGCTAAAAATTTCAACTGCAAACTTCAGCGTGCAGTTTTCTGCACTCAAGGCAATTAATTTTGAGGAAGTGCTGAGCTTTAACCGTCTGGAAATCAGGCCTCTTTGTTTGGGCTGAGCAGTCAGAATCTCAGGTTTCTTCTGCCTGTGATTTGAAGGATGGAAATACAGATTATGAACGGTCTCTGTTGTGTTAGAGAAAGCTGTCGTTCGAATAAGTGTTTGGAAGACACAAAGGAAGAAATTCAAAATACAAAAGAAAAAAAAAAGCAAAGCTTTGTATATGTGAGAATGTCACTGAAAGGGCTACCAAGGAAAATGAGGGATTTAGTTCAAACGGAGTTGGTGCAGCTGGTTTTTCCTGAAATAGCTTTCAGAGCGTTCAGATGAACTGGTGTGTCAGATGGCAGGTAATGCTCTCCAGCAGGAGGAGCTGGGGTTGGTAATCTCTTCTGTCTGCACCACTGGATCCTAAATATGATATCTGTGGGCAGCTTTACTCTCTCCTCTAAAGCAGCTTGTCCAGGTCACCCTCTGAAACAGGTGGCTGAGCAATCGGAGCCTGGATCACATCCAGTGCAGCCATTTCAATGAGTCTCTGCACGTATTTTAAGTACCCTTTGAGAAAAGCCAAATTCTTCACAATTACATTGTCTTTTCTGTTTCACTCCAGGCTTGTGAAATAGGGATGAAAGCCTTTGACCTGCTGAAACAACTACCCCAGCAAGAGCCTCTAGAAGCCATCGGCTATTTGTTAAAGCTGATTGACTCCCAGGCTTCCTGCACAAAATAAGGAGCTCTTTCTATCAGAGCCAGGTGATGGCTAGGTTATTTAACTAGGTGGCTGAAAACATTGAAAATGCATTGCAAGCTGTAAGTCCTTTTTGCTGTTGTCACTTCCCTAGAAGTGTCCCTTTCCATCTGGAAGTGCCTGAAAGCTGAGTTTGTGCTGTGTTGTTACGTGCTTGTCAACCTCTGCAGGCTGTTACGGAGTCACAACGTGAGGATGGAAAAAAAGGCACTACCAGTGCATAAATTGTTGCCTACTTGCTAATGTAGATGAGGGTAACAGCCTCTTATCTCCTCACATTGTCTGACGAAGTTAAGACCAGCTGAAATGAGTTTGTTACTGTTTTCCTCAATTTTCTTTTCACTTTGATGAGTAAGATAGGGTGGAAGGCTATGGGAGAGGCCTGGGGAATGTGTCCAGTACATTCCTAACTTGGATGGTTGACACCTGCTCCCCAGCACCTGGTTGGGCTTGTTCAGGTGCTGCACCTCTCTGTACTGCCCCTCCATTTCCAAATTCACACTCACCTTTTTGCAGACCTCCATCAAGCTGACTGCCAACCTGCAGCCCTCACAGCTTCAAATGCCCCTGGGAGCAGAGAAGGAAGAAAGGCAGGGCACAGGGCACGCATGGCCCTGGGAGTGAAGACCAAGGAGGGCTAGAGGAGTCCCTGAGAGCGAGATGGGTGCAGGGCTGCAGGCAGCTGTGCAGTGAACTTGGTTCCGACTCTGGAGCATGTGACAGACTTGCACTGCTGGGAAAGAGGTTAAGGGAAACTTGTCCTGCTGCTAAGGTCTGGATTCAGCTGAGCTTTAAGCCTACGATTAAGTCTCATTTACTTCAGGAGGATTTATGAATGCATTTAATTGCCGTGCTGAATTGGGTTGGAGTCAAGTACGCTTTTAAATGCTTCGCCGAGCTGGGACCTGAGCAATTAGAAGGGATTGATGCTGCTGCTAAAGGGAAAGTTGCTCACTCCAATCCAACTGATTTTTAATTGCACAGGGTGGAATAGCTGTGATTGGTGCACACAAGGCCCCGGTGGCAGACCAGGGCAGCTCCCTGGGACTGTAGGAACACACACAGGGAACAGGGGTTGCTGGCAGCTGGGATGCTCAGTGCCTGCTGGCACAGTGCCTCCGGGCGTGGAGGATTTGGGTCACTGTGGCTGAGGATTTGGAGCTGTGGCAGTAATCCCCCAAGACATGCCATGGCCAGGCTGGCTCTGTATGACACGTCTGGGACGGCGTCCCTTCCACAGCGCTGCCACACGGCACAGCGTCACTGCTGGCTGCTTAAAGCAGTATGGAAATTAATTTTTCACAGGTCTGCAGGCTGGGCATCTCTGGTAGCAGGGCCTGCACAGCAATGAGAAGGGAATGGAAGCACCAGTAAAGGTGATCAGAGCAACCCAACATCCCACCACACAGAATATTTTAGGGAAAGTTGGAAGATTTTTACAGGAGCTTTTCCCTATGACCCTGTGGAACAGCCATCTCCACTGCATACACTTCAGGGCAAAGAGCTATTTCAACAAATAGCAGAAAGCCAAAGCGAACAAGCTCAGCACTTCTTTGCCCAGCAGTGTTCAGACTTGCAGCCCTTGGCACCAGGTTAGCTAAAGGAGAAATTCCCCCAGGAAGCAGCCAGGAGATGGCAACGCCAGCCAGGAGCACAGTGTGGGCATTTTGTAACAAGGAGCCTTGCATCCCCATGAGGAAAAGCTTTGGCAAGGAGCAGCACACGCTAGGGAGTCTACTGCTACTCCCAGAACAGGGATGGGACACAAACACCCCGTGAACAGCACCTGAGCTGCACCCAGGGACGGCCTTGCTGAAGCTCTGACCCGCTGCACTCCCTCCACCAGCGCTCCTCCCAAAAATGAAGGCACACAGCACAGCAGGTTGGGTCGCTGCATACATTCCTGTTTATTGTTAGCACACCACACGCCTTTCTCCATTCTCTTGGCACTTGTGTTTATGCACATTAGGAAAAAAAAAAAAAAAAAAAAAAAAAGTGTGTGCAGTTTCTGGGATGCTGCACAGATATGTGATGAGTTGTCATGGTTTTTTTTTCTACCTTTATTTTCAATGTACTCACTTCCAAAACAGACAAATAAATTTAAAAAAAAAAAAAAACAAAAAAACAACAAAAAAAACACTATTAAATAACTGCACATGGCTTTGGAAATGTGCCATAGCTCCTACAACAGTTGCACTCAGGGGAGAAGGGCTGCTTTTTGTGTTGTTTTCTTAAGTTTTGTTTTAAAAGGACAGTATTTCTTGTTTTTAATATACTAAGGACTAAAATTCAGTGCAATAGATACAACTACAGTGCAGGTAATTAACTATACAAAAGTCATCCTAACCATGTACAAGCTTTCCTTAGAGTTGCTATAGAGACTAAACCTTTGCATCTGTACCTTTTTGTATACATTATACACTGTGAATATACTCCGAGAATATTTACAGTACAGTTCCTTGTCAATCAGAAGCACTATAACTTAACATCTACTATTAACACCATCGAACAAAAATATATATAATATAAATATCTTCCAGTCTATACACAGAGCAGGAAATGTATCCATGTGGTGACTTTCGGTGACTCTGGGATCCACGTGGTGACGATGGGCAAGGTGTGCTGCAGCGTGGGACGGCCGCCCGCTCCCGGCTCCGCGGGGCTCCAGGGGACAGCGTGGTGCCAGGGAAGGCTGAGGCCACAGCTCTGCGCTGCTGCTGAACCCCTGCTCCTCTCCGCCAGCACTTCGTGCCACGGTTGACCAATAAGGCAAATATTGCCAAGAACACACCAAGAGATCCCCTCCCCTCCCATCTCAGCCCACCCAAGCGCACAGCCAGCACGAGAACAGATGAAATCCAGGCGAGGAAGCGCACGCAGCCCTCTGCTCAGAAAGGTGAGGAGCCGTTCCAGGAGCCTGCACCAGGGGAGACAGTGCTCTGCCCCCTGCTCCAGTACTACCGACCTCCCCAGCCTGCTCCAGGGGAAGCGCTCGGCCCTGACAGAGGAGCAGGGCTGCGCCCACACCTCTCATCCTCAGCGCTGCCCCAGGGCGCTCCCAGAGGGCAAGGAATTCCCATCCACAGACCAATGGGGGGGTTGAAATCTTAGGCTGCTTTAAAAAATAACTTTAAAAAAAGAATCTTGGTTTAGACTTAGTCAAATTACACGATTTCGCTACGATTAGAATGTTAAAAAAAAGTTTCCAGCTTTAAAAACTTCCGCTATGTGATTTCTCGCATGAAATAACCTATCTCTTCCTTAAAAAGGGAGCCACCCTCCTGCTCACAGAGGCTGGAGGATGCTGCTTGGTTGGTTTTAAAACATTAGTCATTGTTGCTGAATCTATCGGCTTTGAAATCCTGGACTTGAAACCAGCTAAAATCGTTCCTAGCAAAAATACAGTCAGTCACTGATGAACCAGGCGGCCAGTGGGGGAGTCTGGAGAAGGAGCGTATGCAAAGAGCCAGACCCCCCGCTCCCTCCTTCCTCGTTTCTGTACAAGTATTAAAAACACTCAGGAGAGAAGTTAGGAGGTTCGGAGGAGACGGGACACGCCGCAGCTGGTTAGACCTGGGAGTCAGCACCCAAGCTGTGGAACTCATCCGGGGTCTTGTCACTCTGGCTCGCACCCCCCTGACGGAAGCCGGAGGCGATCTCATCGAAGGTCCGGCCCTTCGTCTCCGGCACCTTGAAGTAGGTGAAGATGAAGAAGAGGACTAGCAGCACCGTGAAGATGATGAAGACGTAGGAGCCGCAGAGTTGCTGAAAAGGAGAGCACCAAGAAGCAGTGAGCGCGTGGACGGAGCCGGCAAAACCTGGGGCCCTGCTGGGGCTGCCAGAGTGCAGACATCCACCAGAGCCAGGCACAAAGCAATGCACCACCTCCTGAGCCCTCCCCACCGAGGGACTTGTCATCTAGTGACTGTCCTGCCCATACCCACTGCTTCAAGAACAGTACCGGCCTGCTCCAGGATGTGACTTCCCTATGCCTCATCCCTAGGAGCATTTCCCATACCAATCTGAAAGCAAACCCGAGTCACAATCCTAATACAGGTTTTAGGGCTCAGGAATCTTGTCTGCGTTCATAATCCAACTGCTGTAATGTTGGGCTGCCTGCACACACCTCCAAACCCATGCCCCAGAGAACAAGAGATGATTACCGCAATGTACTGGAAGCCCATGCCCACAATGAAGTTGGAGGTCCAGTTAGACAGCCCAGCAACAGCAAAGGCAGCAGGACGAGGGCCTTGGCTGAACAGTTCTGCCACAATAAACCAAGGGATGGGGCCTGGACCGATCTCAAAGAACGCCACGAACCCAAAGATGGCAACGATACTGAGGTAGGACATCCAGGGCATTTGGTCCTAGTTCAAAGGAGGGAGAAAACAGGTCAGTGAGTGCTGTTCATAGGGATTGACAAAGTGTGCGGCCAGCACAGGTGAGACTGCAGACAAGCATGGTGCTAGCAGAAGCCATAGGGTTTCTCTGGATTGGAAATGGTGTTTCCGGGACCCCAAGAGAGATCTGCAGAGAAGACCACACAGATCCCTGGGAAGAGGGGTTAGAGATAAGGAAGGATGTCCATCTCTCTGCAAGCCACCGCAATGAGCAGTGGTGTGCAGGGGCATCCTCCCACCGGCCCACCCCCAGCCCCCACCACTCACCAGCAGTGTCAGAGCAATGGTCATGAGCACTGCACACCCCGCCATCCCCGCCAGGCCGATGAGGTGAAGGGTCCTGCGTCCAGCTCGCTCCACCACGAAGAGCTGTCGGGTGGGAAGACATCTGTCAGCACCTCCAGCTGGGGAAAATCTCCTCCTCCCTTCTCCCTCCCTACCTGCACATACTTCCTCAGGTAGCACATCACACAATCATCACTCCCCGCCTCCACAAAGCCCACCAGCCCAACACAAAGCTCTCAGGTGAGGTGGAGGCCTCAACTCACCGAAACAACAGTGAAAGCTGTATTCACCACCCCAGAGCCAATGGTGGCATAGACAGGCTGCTCCACACCCGACTTCTCAAAGATGCTGGTGGAATAGTAGAAAACCTACAAACAGAAAGGATGTGCCATGAGGAAAGGAGTCACCTCAGCTCGGGGCTGGCACCAACCCACAAGCCGTGCACACTGCACCCAGCTCCTGTGGCTGGGTGAAACAAGCTGACCCACAGTGGGTCCCCAGCCCCACGCTCACCGCATTGATCCCTGAGAGCTGCTGGGACAGCTGCAACACGATCGCGATGAGGATGGGCTGGCGGTACATGGGAGAGCGGAAGAGCTCCATTATCGTGACCTTCTTCTCTCTCATCATTTGCCGGCTCTCCTCCTTCATCTCCTGCAGGTCGCTGCTGACATCTGTCGTGCCTCGGAGCTTCTTGAGGACTGAGGGGAGACAGAAGGCCAGGTCAGGAGCGGCTGAGGGCCCCATGCGCGGCAAGATGAGCTCAGGGATGAGAGTCACTCACCGCTCTTGGCTTTGTTCTCCTCGTTGCGGTTGATCAGGAGGAATCGAGGGCTCTCAGGGGCAAAGGGGAGGATGATGCACTGCAGCAGGGCAGGGACAAAGATGAATCCCAGGAGAAGCGGCCAGAGCGAGTCATTTCCCATGATCAAGTCCAAGCCAAACACCTGAGAACAAGAAGTTTTGAGCCTCATCAGTGCTGTGGAGTCTCCCCTTCTCCTTTAATCCAGCTTACTGCAAACCCAATCCAGCTCCGCTCTGTGGGGCACACACAGACATTCAAGCCTCACAATGCGCCTATCAGAGGCGCAGAGCACCATGCTTTGCCCAAGGGGCCTCTAGATGTTACAACCTGATGCTGGGCATTCAAACCCTACATCTTATCTCATCCTTGTGCCTGTTGAGCCCTGTGCCATCTCTCCAACCCTCGCTCTTCCCGAGGAGCTGTACAGAGGTACAGAGCAATGCTCCTGGGCCATCTGAGACCAGCGCAGCATCAGCAACACACTGACTGTCCAGAAACAGTGCTGCAGACAGACGGACCCCCGGACAGCACTTACTTGTGCAATAAGAATGCCCAAGACAATGCCAAGCTGGTGGAAGGTCCCCAGCGCACCCCGCAGCGCGGTCGGTGACACCTCGCCCACGTACATGGGCACAAAGCCAGTGGTGAGGCCAGAATACAGGCCGATGATGAAGCGGCCAAGAATGAGCATCTCAAAGGACAAAGCCATCTTGGAGAAGCCCATGAGGACAGCGGCCAGGAAGGCGAGAACGTTTGACATCAGCATGGAGTTGCGTCTGTGGAGGCAAGGAGATGAGAACATCAGACTGCAGGGAGTATTGGGAGGGGTTGTTTAGCCACGTGAAACCAAACGCCAACACTATGCATGAGGGAGGTGTCCACAGTCATTCCCCATGCAGGAAAGCATCCAAGGCTGAAGAGTAAGCACCACGCAGGGCTCACCATCTGTCTCTGCAGCCTTCAAGGCGGTGCAGGCACATGGCCACGCACCGCTGGGAAGCAGAGGCACTCACAGGGTTCGGTAGAATAAGGCTGATGCTGCCCCGCGACAGCCAGACAGTTAAACAGATGCTGCCCTAAGGAGCACAACAGTGCCGTTTTGATACATGCTTAGCTGAAACAGCAGACTCTGAAAAGGCCAACAGGGAAGCTATTAAGGGACAGACTACACGCTTTTGGCTCACGCAAAGGGCTCAGCTCCGCAGCAGGCCAAGCCCTGGGGAGGCCAGGAAAGAAGGCTTGCCAACTCCCAGCACAAGCGGTAACAGGCTCCAGAGGGTGGAAGAATGGTCTCATGAGCAAGGCGTGAGCCCCAGAACCAGGCCCCGCCACCAGGGGAGGCGGCACATGCTTGGTGCTCACCTGCCAAAGCGGTTGACGAAGAGTCCCACGGAAAAGGATCCAATCATGCCTCCAACTGAGAAAATGGCAACAGAGAGGGACCACAGCGTGGTGAGGGTGGCAGGGCTGATGGGCTCCTCATATCTGTACAGCCAGGTGCGGTTGTAGAAGTCTTCAATCACCTGCAAGGGGGAAGAAGTGAAACCACAGGGTAAGGCTGTCTCACGCCAAGAGGTTCACGTACATCTGCCTATGGAGCTGTGCTGTGCAGGCTGGGCACGTCCACACTCACAGCCCGCCCCAACACACAGCATTTCCTTGATGAAGAGCAGCACACGGGCAGACCCACAGCTCCGACAACATCCCACTGCAACGGTGGATGCAGCACAGCCCCCAGCACACCTTACCCCAAGCACTGTCAGCTCAGGAAGGATGTGACAGCCCAACATAGGTACCCTGGGTGCAGGCACACTGCGGCCCGTCCCATCCCCCTGGCACCACAGCGCAGGGTTCACCAGCTGCAGGATGCAAAGCTTTGCCCAGGCTCGCTTTGAAGTGGAGCAGACACCACAGGCTCCAGCCCTGGCTGCACAGCCCAGTGTCAGCCCAGGCACAGCTCCTACACCACAGCCACATGCGGCTGCTCAGATGGACTGCGTCGAGCCTCACATCCTCTGCCAGTGGCCAAAATCCCCATTCCCAGTTTCGGTGAGGAGTGAGACTCCTGGCCTCATCACAGCCACGGCCATCCTAATTCCTCCCCGCAGGCAGCTGTGCCTCCACACCTGGGACAACAACCCTGCCATGATTTCGGTGCTGCAGCCCAAAAGAGGAGGCTGGGATCACCTGGCAGCAGGGCATCTTCGCTGCTAACAGCCAGGCTGGTGTGGGCACAGAGCCGAGCACCCTTCAAAGCTTTCCCTAGCTATTACCCACACACCCTTCTGCTAAGGCTGGGCAAGTCCTCCTCCACTCCTGCTGCTCGAGATTTCATCTTCATCACCAGTGCCATGAATTCCTCGGCCTCAGCCCAGCCACCTACAGACTGCGGGCAGCTCCCCACCACCCTGCAAGCCTCAGTCACAAGGCTTGGCCCATCTCTTCCCCATCACAAGACAATGTGTCACCGAGCAAGCCCTGGTTTGCCGGCACGTTCCCATTAAACCCAGCGCTCCTTTGCTTTCCACTAGATGGGAGCCACCCAGCTGCAGGCTGGCAGCAAGCTGATAGCACGGCTCAGATCTGGGAGGAAACCCGACGGGATGCGCAGCGAAAATGCAGCCAGACAGGTTTGGGCTCGTCCTGCCAAGGCTCAGCGCTGCCAAAACGCCTCCAAAGCCATTGCAGGAAGGTCGGGCTGCTCCTCGGGTCACTGCGGACAGGCAGG